GGTGGATGGATGGATGGATGGGTGGATGGATGGATGGGTGGGTGGATGGATGGATGGATGGATGGATAGATGGGTGGATGGATGGATGGATGGATAGATGGGTGGATGGATGGATGGATGGATGGACAGACGGATGGGTGAGTGGATGGGCAGATGTGTGGGTAGGTGGTGAGTAGATAGCTGAATGAATTGGTGGATGAATGGGTGGATGGATGGATAGGTGGATGGATAAATGAACAAACCAATAGTGGGGTGTGGATACAGATGAATGAATGGGTGGATGGATGAATGGATAGATAGATGGACGGCTGAGTAGACATCCACATGAGGTGGTAAAGAGAGCCTTGGTCCTGACTGGTAGAGCTGCTTTTAGCCTCTCAGTCCCAGCTGTGCCATCTTTAAAAGGTGATAAAGCTCGAGCCTCCCTTGCTCTGAAGGCCACAGGGCAGCTCAAAATGAAAGCCAGACACTTTTTTTCAGTGAAGAGACTGTGTAGTTATAAGGAATTGTCATCTCCATAACCTCTTCCCTCCAAAGACCGCCTTGCTATAAATATGTTATGATTAAAGTACAAGCCTGAGTCAAAATCTTCATAAACCCTGTGATCACTCTGGAATTCCTCCAGCAAGCTCTGTGTGGATTTCCCCCCTCTCAACTCCCAAGCAATTTTTCTTCTGTTGGAGATTGCCAAGATTTTATGGCTATTTGGTTATCTTATCCATCCAGATGGTTAGCATTAATTTATGCTGAAATAAATATGCAAAACCTCATTTGTCTCATTGCTCCAGAAACATGAGGTGTAAGGCCTAAAAAAACTTAACATACAGCCTCCTGCGAGGGCCAGGGTGTGGCATGACTACATGCATTTTCATTCGATTTGGCTTGAAAGTTAGCTTTTCTGTCCCTTGATATTTATATATAAGCAAATTAGATTGTTTAATATAAGAAACTCAAACTTAGTTTATGACTTTTAATACATATGCTTGCCTCATGTTACTTTATAGCTGCTTTTTTATTGAGAAAAGAAATTGTGATTTATTACTTGGTGATAAATTTCAGACACCTTTTCTCTACTTTTAAAAAATATTTTATTTATTATTTTTATTTTATGTGTATGAGTGTATTGCCTGCATGTCATATAAAAACACCTGTGTCCTGAAATGCCCATGGAGGTCAGAAGAGGGTATCAGATACCCTGGAACTGGAGTTACAGATGACTGTTAGCTGTCATGTGGGAGTTGGGAACTGAACCCAGGTCCTCTGCAAGAGCAGCTGGCTAGGAACTGGAGTTACAGACAGTTGTTAGCTGCCATGTGGGTGCTGGGATTCAAACCCGGGTCTTTTGCAAGAACAACCAGTGTTCTTAACTGCTGAGCCATCTCTCCAGCCTCCCTTTTCTCTACTTTTTAAAACATTAATCATTAGGCATAAATGTCAATGTTGGGGGCCAGAGATTCAAAGACTCACTCACTAACTGTGTGACCACAGGTACCTTTCAGCCCAGCTGAGCTGTGTGTTTGTCTCCTGGGTAAATACTACCTGAGAGACCATTGTGAGGACCGTGTGGCTGTGTGCATAAAGGGATGGATGATTGGTAGGTGGGTGGCTGGCTGGCTAATGTATAGGAGGCCCCTGGAGTATGATGTACTTAATAAATGCCATCAGGTAGGGCTGTTGTGGTGGAGCTGGTGGTGGGGTCTCTGTGGGAGACTGAGCTTGGACTCACAGACAGAGCAACTTGGGTCAAAATCCTGGCGCTGGTCCTGTGTCCTCTGCCTGGACACTCTTGGAGACATAGGCTGCTTCTACTATTACTCTTGTGTCATCTGGGAACTTCTCAAGCAGGGGCTATACTGCTTTCTGATGGGTGCAGAAACTCACTCAGACATTGCCACATGGTGATTCACAGGGCTGACTCAACTTTTTGTAGAAGTCAAATCTCTGACCAACTGGGGTCAGGCTGTAGGACACATATGTCTCAGGAGACAGTCCTCTGCTCCCTTCAGTGCAGAAGGTGCTAAGAACTGAGGAGTTGATTTATGATTGCTATAATAGAGGGAAAATAGATTCTAGGACTGAGCCCACACAAATTCAGTTATGGTGTGTCACTTCCTGTGGGATGCTTTAAGACTTCCGGTCAAGGCTTTCAACTGTGAATACTACTGTATCAAAGGAAAGTAGCTGCAAAGTAGAGCCATTTGGGTTTTTGTTGTTTTCATTTTGTTTAAATGTTTTACATGATGGATCTGTTTTCTACTATCTCTCGTCAGGGGCTGGCATGAAAATTGTGTATGTCTGAATTTCTAGGCACATTTCCTCTTATCTAGTTACCACAGACTTACAGGTAACACAGCAACCTTTCTGGTGGTATGCTAGTAAGAATAGTTGTGATAGGGCTGTTGGACTAAGGGATCAGCAGGACACGTGCTAGACACCAACTGATAGCTCAGAGCTATTTAAGTAAATGCATTCTATCTTGTTTTCTCATTTTGGCAGTGTGTTGGTTTTGTTTCCTGGAGCTGTGATTAAAATCCTCTGACAAAAGCAACTTAGGAGAGAAAGGGTTAAGTTTGGTTACAGATCCAGAGGGAATACAGTCCATCATGGTAGGGGAGGCATGGTGGCAGGAGCGTGAGGCTGGCCATCATAGTGCACTGGCAGTCCTGAAGCAGAGAGAGAACTGAATGTAAGCATGCTTACTTGTGTTTAACCTCTTCCTTACACTTACACAGTACAGGACCCCCCTGCCTAGGGAATGGTACCAATCATCGTGGATGAGTCTTCTTACCTCAGTTAACATACTCAAAATAATCCCCCACAAGCCAACCTTATCAACAGCCCCTCATTAAGACTCTAGTCCCAGGTGATTCTAGATTGTGTCAAATTGACAAAACTAACCACCACAGGTGGTCAAGTCAATGGTTGTTGACTGACTTCTCAAAAACACCTTGCTCTTCAGAAGTACTAAATAAGATGTCTAGGAATAAATTCTAGACAGCATACCAGTAGTAGTAATAGATCACATACATGCTGTTCCTCATACTCCTCTTTAAGTAGATACTGGGTCCATCACCATTTTACAGATGAAGAAACGGAACCCAGAGAGCTTAAGAATTTGGCCATAGTGGGCACTGGAGAGGAGGTAAGGATTTGTTTGATCCCAGATTCTCTTTAGTCATGAAAGGTTTGACAAGAAGAGATGGGACAACACCTGTCATGGTCAATGCAGCTCTAGGCTCCTTTTATCCAGAATGATCATATTTCAGAAAGCTCCAAAGACATGTTTCCTTTTGTTTGTCTTCAGATGTTAGCAGTACCAGCGTGTTTCCCAGGGAAGGAATCCCAGCAGTCTTCCATCTGTGAGCCGCTGTCTTTCCTCCACCCAAGCTTCATGCTGCAGAGTAGGGCCGTCACTCGGCGTTTCCTGCTCTTAGCTGCCCGTGGAAGGGCCAGCATTTGTTCACCCTCGCATTTGGCAACAGCGTCCTCATGTTTTCTAACCACCACTTCCCTGCATGGTATCAGGAACCCCTCAGAAATCACCAAGATGTGGTTATTTGTGTGACTGTCAGTTGGTACCTGTGTATACTTCCACACCCCAAGCTGTTTGGCAGAGGGAGCTCGCAGAGACCCGCTGGCCCTCTTCTTTGTTTGCGAGCATTCTAAGAGCATTCTGATGTGGCTGCTGGGCTCTGGGTGAAGAGCTTGCTACTAGAATCTAGGTGCTGAGAGATTCCTAGCACTGGAGCCCTTGACCACAAATGTTTGCAAGTGCATTGATGGATTTAGTCCTCACAGCAGCCCCTAATCTATCCATTTGATTGATGGAAATACTGAGGCAGAGGGGAGTTAAGTAATTCTCCACTGTCCCTTCACCCAATATGGAATCAAGCAGGATGCAGCCCCTGGACCATGTCTCAAGAGCCACAGAGCGTGTGTCCTGAACCATGCTGCCATAGGAATAATACTGGTATACTGGGGGTCCCTTCCAATAAATGCTGTGTGCTAAAAATGTAGATTAATCCTAAAATTTTAACCAGAACCACACGTTTAAAATCCTTTAAGAGGGATGGGGAGATGGCTCAGTCAGCCAAGCATGACAACCTGAGTTCAGATCCCCAGCTCCCATGTAAAAGCAGAGCATGGTAACACACATCTGTAACCCCAGGGCTGGAGAGCTGGGGGCCAGGGGGTGGGGGACAGAGACAGGAGGATCTCTAGAGTTTGATGAACAGCTAGTCTAGCTGTAAAAAAAAGAGTTTGTGAGTTCCAGGTTCAGTGAGAGACCTTGTCTCAAAAAGTAAGGTGGAGAGTGACAGACCTTACACACACACACACACACACACACACACACACTTAATAAAATCTCAAGACAACCTTCAGACACGTGCAAAAAAAGAAAGTTGAAAATCCTTGAGTGTTCAGTCAGGTGCTGTGTGTGATTTCTAATAAGATAGTATCAAAAATAGAACCATGTAGAGACATGAGAATCCTTCTTATCTCTAGAACTGACTGAAAAAAAAAAAAAAAAAAGAGCCAGTGGGGGAGGTGCTCAGTCAATAAAGTGCTTGCTGTGCAAATATGAGGACCTGAGTTCAATCCCAGAATCCAAAAAGCCAGGTGAGGTAGCATGCACTTGTAATCCCAGCACAGAGACAAGTAAATCCTAGGAGCTTGCTGGCCAGCCTAGCCTACTCAGTGAGTTCCAGGCCAGTAAGAGACCCTTTCTCAAAAAAAAATCAAGGTGGGACCTGGCATGGTGGCGCACGCCTTTAATCCCAGCACTTGGAAGGCAGGTGGATCTCTGTGAGTTTAAGGCCAGCCTGGTCTACATAGTGAATCCAGGCCAGCAGTGACTACAGACTCTGTCTCAAAAAGACACCCCCCCCCCAAAAAAAAACCCAAGGTGGATAGTATCTGAGAAGAGACAGCTGAGGTGGTTCTCTGACCTCCACATGCACACACATGCAGGTACACACACACAAACACACACACACACCCCAAATGATAATAATAATTAATAATAATCCACGGCTGCTTGGATTTGGTCTGTGGGTTTGTAGCAGAAGTGACCTCTTTCCCTGGAGTATTTATCCATCAGATAGCCTCACAGTGAATAATGCAGGGCGGGGGGCAGCTCGGTGTTGTGGGTATACCTAAATCAGAAAGTCCACAGGCCAGCAGCAGGGCAGCAGTGGGGCCCAGCCAAGCTCTCCATTCCCTACCTGTTTTGATAGAGGCGCCACAGACCAGTAAGAACCTGTTTGCTGGCTGCCCCTTACCCACAGGCATCAAACCCCTTCTCTATACCCAGCCCTGGAGTTTACAAAAAGCCAAGACGTCATTCAGTTTTTATGGTCATCTTTCTGAAAACTCCAAGCCCACAGGTAAGAGCACAGCCTCCTCCGTTACCCCCATTGTGACACCACTGCAGTGAAGGGAATGAGTTGGCTGGACAGAGCCCTCAGCTGGGTGACCTGCCAGGATCCTACATGGCATCACTCCCACAGAGTGAGTCAATCAATTATCAAATAATATGGAGAGAGAGTGAGGGGTCAGTGCAGTGGGAAGTGTCCCTGGCAAAGAGGGTGTGGCCATGGTAGAAGGGGCGTGGCTTCGGTAGAGTGGGCGTGGCTTTGGCAGAAGGGGCGTGGACTTCAATGAGAACTTGATACACCCCAGTTTTTTGAGCTCCTAGGATAAAAGACCCAGCTGTCCCTGGAGCCCCTCTCCACCGGAAGCTCTTTCATCCCCTTGGAGTTTCCAGGCTTCTCTTTTCCCCAGAACACTCTGCCCCCACTACATGCTCTGCCAGAGCTGTCCTGGGCTTTGATGTGGGAGTTAAGAGTTCCTGGAGCCTGCGTCATGCGTTGATCAAGCCTCTGAGACACGGGAGAAGTCAGTCACTTCCAGCCGGCAGGAGGGAGTCCCATCAGACTCTGCTGGGTGGGAACAGCAACTGGAGAAGGATCTGGAAGGTGGCCTTGAGTCAGCTCCTGGGAAATGACAGCAGGAAGGAGACTGGGAACTTTTTTAAAAAAAATATTTTATTATTTTTATTTTATGTGTATGAGTGTATTGCCTGCATGTATGTGAGTGCACCCGTGTCATGGAATGCTGCAGAGATCAGAAGAGGGTGTCAGATTCCCCTGGAACTGGAGTTAAGGAGGGTTCGTAGCCGCCATGTGGGTGCTGGGAATCCAACCTGGGTCCTCTGCAAGAGCAGTCAGTGCTCTTAACCGCTGAGCCATCTCTCCAGCCCAAGACTGGGAATTCTTTGATGTGAGATGCACAGCCTTCAAAGCCTGCCCATCACTGGTCAGTGCTGTGTAACAGCATTTCTGAACCTCAGCTTGCCAGTCTGTAAAATGGGCATGGTATGCCCTGCCCAAATGGCTTGCCATGGGACTCAGTTTTGAAAAATGCCTGTTAACAAGTGTTTATGCACCAACTGTTGTGCCCCAGACTTCACTTTAGCACTTTTTAAGACCTCATATGGGTGGTGAAGGTACCAAGACAGAGAGCTTCCATGTTCTGTTCCAAGAAATTGGGTGATTTGATTTCATAATGGGGGATACTGCCCCAGTAGAGATAAAACTCACATATACACACAATATTCTCTTTTTTGCACATGTATCTGAAAGTCATCTTGAGATTATCTTTCAGGTATGTGTGTCCTCAAGGTTTAATCACTGAACAAGCATTTCCTGTATACCTACTGTGTGCACAGCCTTAGAACTGCAAAGGTGCCTAAGGCGTGGTTGGTTCCTACATGCAAGAGTACACTCCTAGGCAGACAGCCCCTGGTTCGAGAGGTGATGCTAAGGTGCCACTGCCTACTTCTGAGATGCATTCACCATGTGCCTTAGCTTCCTATGGAAGACGACTTTTCTCTGTGCCCACAGAGCACTTTGCCAGAGTGGGGGAAGTAAATCGTCACCCAGAGCAGCCCAGCTCACCCATCGCAGCTTCCTGGGCCTGTCCTGCTTGACCATGTGTAGGGGGAAACTAGACTTGACGCTTTGCAGTGAAGTCTTGGTCTGTGGGTAATCCTGGAGGAGCCAGCCAGATGGTGTGGTTATAGGAGAAAGATCTAAAGAAAAACCTTGTGTCAAATGAGTGGGTCACCCGTCCCCCACTTTGGCAGGGATCCAGGGCTGACAAGGGAAATGTGTATATTTTGCCTTCGCTGAGAATTGGTGAGGTCCTGCTGAGAGGTATAATACCAACATGACAGAGCCTGGGGGAGCCCCCAGGGATGGTATGGAGCTGTCTGTTGCTCCTCTTCCAGGAAGAGGTGGAGTGCTGGGCTTGGGTAGTTTTCTAAACCCTCCGTTTGCCTCATTCCACTCTTTTCTTTCCCCTCAAATAGAAAGTATCTGGGAAATTTTTGAAGAGTTAAGAAATGATATAAAAAACACTTCTACCATCCTGAATTAGCAAATGAGACATTTTTCTGTATTCACATCAGGCCTTATGGAAGTCTGCACTCGTGTGTGTGTGTGTGTGTGTGTGTGTGTGTGTGTGTGTGTGCACAGTGGTGGGTGAGGGTTCCTGTCTCCTTCCTTGTAACTCCCAGTTCTCTCACACTGGACATATTATGATGGTTAATTTCATGTGACAATTTGGCTGGGATAAGGGATGCACAGAGAGCTAGTAAAATATCCTTTGGCATGTCTGTGAGGGGAGAGTGTGTCTAGAGGAGACGTATAGATTCCGGCTCACCAGTGTGAACCCCACGTCATGTACTGCTAGGCATGATACTTACATGTATACAGGCTCAGATAGAACAGTAACCAGGAGGCTTAGATTCTCTTCTTTCTGGGGTTGGAATGCACATCTCCCTCTGACCTTGGACACCTGAGCCTGGTTCTCCAGCATTTGGACTCAGACTGGGCTGAACCTCCAGCTTGGTTACATCAGACTGCTCAGCCTCTGTAATCACATGAGCCAGCTCCTGTAATGGATTGTCTCATATATATTGTCTATATATCACGTGTCCTGTTGGCTTTGTTCCCTTGGAGAAGTCCGACTGATCCATAGCCATTTGACATTTCTGCCTACCTGAGTGGTTTCTCCATTGAAAATTAAATTTAAAAATATAAAATGAAAATGAGGAGCCTGACAGAAGTGCCATAGCCAGGCTTGGAAAGGAATGTTTTTGTGAACCCCAAGGTTTGACTTTTTCCTTCCCTAGGGCTCTCAGAGGTTCTGGCCTCAGCAGCCCCTTTTCTTCCACTTTCCTAAGACTTCCACCCTCTCGAAGAATGATTGTTGTGTTGCAACTAAGCCAATGAAGAAGGGTGACTTTCCATGGCAATTTTACTCCATCTTGAACTGTCTTAATCTGTGTATTCTTTTGTTTTCTATCACTATAACAAAATACCTGAGGTAGGTACTTGAAAGGAAAAAAGGGTTTACCTCACAGCTTTGGAAGATCAAAGTCCAAGCTCAGTCAGCCACATTTGTTTTGCCTCTGGTGAGGGCATCTTGGAAGAGTACATCGCTGTGGTGTCACACAGTGGAGAGATCACATGTCAAAACAAGAAGCCAAAGGGACTCCGGTCAGGTTCAGTTGTTATATAACCACCTACTCTAGAAGGAACCAACCAGGGTCCCATGAGCACTACTTCTGATGTCTCATGACCTAATAGCCTGACACTAGGCCTTTCAGTGCATCCTGGCACTGAAAACCAATCTTTGTAAACCCCCTGGGGACACATTTAAACTACAGCCAAATCATAGCACTCTGAGTCCTTTAAAAACACCTTTTCCTTATGTTCCTGTCAGCACTTGGACCAAGACCACTTCTGTCTCACTGTCCCCTTTTCACCTGGACAGGCCCTGCATCCTCACTGTCTTCTGGCTTCAGTGTTCCCAGGTTTAACACATCCATTCATTTCCTGCGGTCCCTCAGGCAGCCTTTTTTCAGCCCCTCAATGACCACAGTTATACCATCTCACCCCTGTAGGTCCCACCCAAACCTTGTTTCTTCACCCCATCTCCACTCGATTTTTCCAGCATCACCACCATCTCCATCTTCTCCACACTGACTCCTGGAGACAATGTACTTGCTCCCTCTGCCTGTTTCCTGTCTCTCCTTGTGAAACACACGATTGTCACCTGAGGCTCAGCTCAGTCCTTGGGTGTGGTGGTCTCCAAACTCCAGACAGAACTGGCTTTCTCCTGTGCATCTAGAACTGTGCAGAACTTGTCACCTGCAGTGCAATTTTCCCCCACTTCTCACTCACCTCCATAATTTTGAAGCTGCTGAGGGCTATGTCTGGCATACAGAGGGTGTTTAATTAAAGTTCTTTGACGAATGTCTTCTACATTTGCTGCTTCCACAAAGGCAGAATTCCCACCAAGTCTTTCTGTTGGGCATATTAGTATTAGAGGCACGATCAAAGGTTTGTTTAATCTTAAGAACATAAATTGGCTTTTCGAGAGCTGAACATGGTGTGTGCAGATGAATATTCCTTGTATTTAATCAGGACAGCTTATCTGTTCTGTAAAGGAAACAGCATCTACTTGGAAACTCGTTGGAGTTTTCTCTTTATCCCTGAAAGTAATTCAACTGAACGTGATCAAATACTGTTTTTAATTCAGGGTTTGCTAATTAAGATCAAGCTTTTCCTGATCGATGAGAATTAGGGAGAGTTCTCACTGGCTGTCTGCTAATCTCTGTTAAGCACAATAAGTAACTGGCCTGCATTTTCTCAGCTGGCTAGTTTCAAAGCGATCTGCTGCCTCAAAATGCTCTGGGGCTGGTTAAGATGCAGCTTCTCAGGCCTTACCTTAGAGCCAGTGAGTTGATTCTGGGCAAAGCCTGCAAATTTGTTTTGAACAGGGTGCCCATGTGGTTCTGAGACATCACGAAGTCAAGAACCTTCCATCTGGATATGTCCTGTTCAATATGGCATCCTGAGTCTCATGGTCCTGTTGAGCTCTGAGCTCCCAGTCTAGGCTGAAGTGTGTAAAATGCACACTGATTCCAAAGCTCTAGTGCCTAAAGAGGTAAAATAGCTCAGTTGTTCATACTTGTTAAATATTATTTAGATCTTGATAAAGGAAAACATTTTGAGTATGTTAAGTAAGTGATTCAAATCAATTTCACCTGTTTCCTTTGACTTTGAACGTGGCTATGTGAGGTGACCTGCGTTCCATCTCTGTGGGACAGTGCTGGTCTCAGACATTGAGTCCCTGAGAATACATAGCTTCTGGAGAAATTCAGATAATGGGTGATCAAGAAACCATGACTCCCACTTAACATGTGGGAAGCTCCTGGCTTGGGACTTTCATAGACTGTTTCACTTCCCCGTGCCTCAGTTTCCCCTCTGTGATATAAGCAGAGTAACAGGAGTCATTTTGTTTGCTTCCAGACGGAATTCTGTGGTTGGGACCAAGGCCCTTAGTCTTCCCCTCAAAGTGACAGTGACCCAAGTTTCACTGGGCAGAGTTAGGAAATGATGTTATACCCGGCTTACAGAGCAATGCACTCAGATGCCCCTGAAGCTGCTGTAATTTCCCCTTCTGTGGTGGTCCTTCCCAGATCTCCTCATGGACTGTCCATCTAGGAATATCCTGCTTGCCATTGCAAGATGTGGCTCCCCATCTTACAGCTGTCCTCAAAGAACAATATAACTTCTATCCTCTTGCCTGCAATTTATGACTCAACTCTAGAAATGCCAGATTAAGCATTTTGGGGTATAAAAACCTAGGTTTATTCAGATACTTCCCATAGGCCATTTTTAAGTAGATTTCTAGTGAATGTTTCTTTGTTAATATTTTTATTTATTATTTTTATGTTATGTGTATGAGTGTGTTGCCTGCATGTAGGTAAGTGCACCAGAGTCATGCAATGCCCATGGAAGTCAGAAGAGGGTGTCAAGTCCCCCAGAACTGGAGTTACAGGCAGGTGTTAGCTACCATGTAACTGAACCCAGGTTCTCTGCAAGAACAGCCAGTGCCCAAGTCATCTCTCCAGCCCCTGCAAGATAATGTTTCATTCTTCAAAGTAAATTCTAATTCTACAAGGTCAGTAAAATAGTAAGACAGTGGGGGGAATGCACCAATATACACTTGTTTAAAAATAATGACAGAGAGCTGGGTGATGGCTCAGTCAGTAAAGTGGCTGCTACATAAGCAAGAGGACCCAAGTTCAATCCCCAGAACTTATAATGTAAAAGAGCCAGAAGTGAGCCAGGCATGGTGGCATGTACCTTTAGTCCCAGCACTCTGAAGGTAGAGGCAGGTAGATCTCTGTGAGATCGAGGCCAGTCTGGTTTACATAGTGAGTTCCAGGCCAGCTGGGGCTACAGGGAGACCCTATCTCAAAACAAAACAACAGAGCCAGAAGAGGTGGTGTGTGCTTCCAATGTCGGTACTGGGGAGGCAGACAGACAGATGCCTGGGGCTCACTGGCAGCCAGCCTAGCCCAATCAGGCAAGCTTCAGGGCCCCTGAAGACCGTGGGAGGCCCTGTCTCAAAAAACAAGGTAGATAGCACCTGAGGAGGAAGGACACCTGAAGTTGTCCTCTGGCCTACAGAAAGAGACGGAGACAGAGACACAAAGAGACAGAGAAACACATGAACACACACACACACACACACACACACACACACACACACATTAAAACAGAAAAAAATAATGATAGAATGAATAAGAGCTACCAAAAAGAAAATCATAGAAACCCCAAGAAGTCCTAGAATACAGCCAGGGCTGCCTCCTGTGCCTGTTGCCAGGAGGTTTATCTATAAGCTATGTGCTTAATTTATCGTGAATGATGGTCAAAAAGGAAATTCCTGAAGTGAGGGCATCATTAAATCTCTCCCTTACATTGACTATTTATAATAGCTATTTGCCTCAATTTCCTCATTTGTAAAATGGGGATGGTGCAAGTTAAGCATGCTTAATCTGAAAATCCCAAGTCCAGAAATGCTCCAAAATCCCAAATGTGGAAAACCCGTAGTAAGAAATTTGAAACTCTTCCCAAACCATTAAAAATGGTGTCTGAATTACCTTCAGTCTGTAGGTCTAAGGTATATATGAAACAGATGAATTCTATACAGGAGAGATGGCTCAGTGGTTAAGAGCACTGACTGCTCTTGCAGAGGACTAGGGTTCGGTTCCCAGCACGCACATGGTGGCTGACAACCATCTGTAACTCTAGTTCCAGGGGCCCTGATGCCCTCTTCTGGCCTCCACATGCACTGCACACACATGTTACACTTACATGCAGGCAAAATACTCATACACATAAAATACAAATAAATAAATAAATCAGATAACTTTCATGTTTAGACTTGGGTCCCCTCCCCAAGATTTCTCATTATATATGTGCAGTATTCCAAAATCTAAAAGAGAAAAACATTGATCCCAGTTTTTCAATGAACAAGGTGCTACCCAGTGTGTACTGGTGATTAACTCACATGTAGCGAGCCCCAGGGATTCAGCTGCATGAGAATAATGTTTATAAAGTGCATAGCTCAGTGCCTGGCACCTTATAATGTGCTACTATTATTAATTATTATTTATTATGTCATTGATCATCCTTTCAACAAACTATCCTGAACCCACTCAGTGCCAGGTGGTACTGGAATATGTCCAGAGAAGGGACACTATTCACCTCTTACAGCAGCTTTTGAGGAAAATGACAGAGAAAGGATTAAGATATAAGCAGCCTGAGGTTTGAAAAGGAGACCGTAGATCTGGATGGACCATATCCAACAACAGGAACAATAACAGCACAGGATGATTGCCCTGGTTGGACCCATTTATATGTAACATGCGTGGTCTCATTTCCTTTTTCTGATCACTCCATTGGACACAGATGGAGAAGCTGAGGCTCAAAAAGCCTGTAACTGGTCCAAGATTAACATGCTAGTAAGTGGAAAGGCTGGATCCAAACCCAAATCTTCCTGCTGGAAAGGCCCCTGCTGTTTCTACTAACACAGCTCTCTCTATGAAAGGGAGAGAGTCAGTCCTTTGATGTACCTGAAAATCTATTCCTGTAAAAAGACATGTCTCATCCCCATTCCTTATTGAAGACTAAGTAAAAATAATTATGGGGTTAAAATCCGAAGGTCCCTGTTTCCCAAAACCCAGCATGAAGCACATTTATCAGGCACAGTGGCACAGGGGAGCCCTGATGGTGATGAAGGTAGGGCTGTAGGTCTCGTGGAATGAGTACAGACATTTGTGTCACACTTGAGTCCAGCAGAGGCTAAAGCCACAGTGTTCAGAAATAGTGGGACTGAGACACCAGTGATGTTAAAGGTAGGGGTAGAGCCAGGCAGGAGCCAGGACCTGTACCATCTGCATGCTTGTTTCTAGTGGGATTGGGCAGAGACCTGAAGCCCCATACTCCTTTGGACACTAGGCATGGCAGGGACACAGGGACCCTGGCTTATCACCTCTCTCCAGTCATAGAGTCCCAATAGTTCCCAAACCCAGTTCACTTGGTTTGAGGTCAGGGTTTGGAACTCAGAAGCTCTTGCCCCACGAACCAGCTAGACTGAGTGGCTCAGCTCACAGGACCATGTGTGCTGCTCCAAGCACCTGGCCATGTGGCTGCCAAGATCACCTTGGTTTACTGAAGCCTGTCTTATATTCATTTGACCTGTGGAGAGAGCATCTCTACCATGGATAGCCCGGGACAAAGTTGAACTCGCCCCTGCCCTCTTGCACAGTTTCCCATCACCTCCTTCAGTGACCACTTAAGGCCAACACATTCTGGGAGCTCAATAACTAACCAATGAGCTAATGGTGAGCTCTAACTCTAAGCTCTTCAAAGCTGTTCTCTGTGCCATTTTTCTCAATCTCCTTGGTGGTGCTGAGAGATTCCACAGCAGCCAGATCTCTACATATGAAAACTGTGTCGTGGCAAAGTTTACCCCAGGCTCGCTCCAAAGCTTACCTGGAAAATGCAGACCTTTGGGACACTGGAGGCCTGGGCCCAGGGGGTCCCTTAGTCCCTTAGGAAGCTTCAGGGAGCCGATGGATCTTTGTCCCAGTGGTTGAAGGACTCCCAACCACTGGAGCAGATGTCTCTCCCCTGTTCCCCGGGCTCCTTGCCCAGTTCCTCCTTGCCCCCAGCAGTGTCTCAAAGCACGTCGGAAACATTAACTCGTCTCCTGCTATTCATCTTTGCCAGTGTTGGCTCTGACAATATGATTTCAGCACTCCTCCAAGGGCGGCCAGCGGGTCCTGAGAGTCAGTAATGGATCCCAGGCAATTGGACACAATTCAGATCTGATGGGAACCTGCACCCTCCTTGGAAAGAGTCCCAGGTACTTGCAGCTGCTGGGTGCTACCTTCCTGGGAATGGCATTTTCTCGGAGGTAGCTGGAGGGACCTGGTAGTTCCCACTGACTTCCTTGCTCTGTCTGACCCCAACCCCTGGGCATGGTAACAAGGAAAGCTGGCCTCGGCCTCTCCTGCCTCCTTCCTCGTCATCTGGCCCTCCCTTAGGTCATCGTCCTGTGTCATCACCAGGACTAAGACTTTGTCTCTCTTGTTGCCTGCTGTGTCTTCTGTACCTTGAACAAATCCCAACTGACCTAGTACAGTAGTTCCTTGATATCCTGGGGGATGGCTTCTGGGACCCCCTCAGGTACCAAAATTCACACATTTCTGGATGTAAACTTTCATTGTATTTGCATAGAGACTACACACATCTATGCACATCCTTCCATGTACTTGGGGACGTCTCTAAATTACCAGTGTCACTGAATACAAGGTAAATGCTACAAGAATAGTTGTTTTAGTGTCTTGCTCGGGGAATAACGAATAAGAAAAAAGTCCCGATGTGTTCAGGACAGATGAAGTCTTGATCCAGGGATGGTTGAATTAGCAGCAGGTGCAGAACACCCAGGCCCACTGCATGTGCTGGCTCTTGTTCACAGCATTTATGGGATCCCACCACAGGCTCCTGGACTCCAGCCTTGCCTCCCATCTGCTTCCTCACCCAGCACATCAGACACTGCTCAACCCAAGGGAGGATCCTGGCCCATCTCCCACCCCTCAAACACAACCATCTCTCCAGCTATCTCAAGGAAAGCCCCTTAAAGCCCTCTTTGAACCCTCACTTGCCAGGCCACATGCTCAGCTACACACATAAGTTCCAGCCTGGCCTTGAACACAGATCTGAATTCTGCTCCTTCCCCCACCCCCATTACAGTCGCTCTGGCACACGATCTGACCTGAATTCACCACGTGCACCCCTCTCCCACCAAAAACCACCGAAGCCAGAGCTGTTAGCGTGAGTTGGGTTGTAGCTCTCCTACACTTATGCCCTAGGGGTCGCAGCTCAAAACAAGGCCCAGGGCCTTCCCAGAGCCTTCACCCCTATTCTAGCTGTGTGCTCGCCACAAATTTCAAGAAACTCTGATTCATCTTGGCCTTGCAGGCCCATCTTCCTGGCATGCCATCTCCACGTGTCTCCCGGAGTCCATACCTCTTTCACGCCTGTTCTCAAAGTCCCTTTCCAACATGGCCTGGCCTTGAGGATCCACAAGATGGCCTGTGGAAAATGTTCAGGGCAATGTCCCCCTTCCTCCGTAGCCACTAGCTACTGCCTTGTACTTACACAGGTCCCTTGGGGCCTAATTCCCAACAGATCCTCTTTGTTCAATAGGCCTCCAGTCTGGTACCTGGCTCCAGGTGGGAAACTCAGATGTGTGTAGAACTGAAGAGGTAGAGATGAACCCAGAAGACAGTGCAGGCCAATAGTATGGGCCTAAGAACTCTGAAGACTGGAAATGATGAGAGCTGGAGGTGGGTTGGAGTCGGGGCAGCTTCCCTCACAGAGGAGACACCTTCATACTGGGCCCTTCTGCCCATACCTTGGGCACTCAGAGTGCAAGGCATTCTGGGAATCCCTGCTTCCCATTCTTTCCTGTCTCTCTGCTGGAGGCTTGAGTCAGAAGCCTCCGGGGATGAAGCCTGTGACCCGCCTCTCATGGCTTCTTTCCAGGGCAGAAAACCCACATGAATTCACTGTTCTGAATAATTCGTAACTCAAAACAGTCACTGTCCCCAAACAACTCTGTTGGGTTCCCAGAATCCCGAACTGGAAATACCTGACAAGTCAGTTGGTTGACCCTAGCCATTTGTCCCAAAGATAAGAGGGAGATGCCTCATTGGGTCACTGTAGCCCCAGGCCTCTCTCCCATGGCACTTGGGAGGTGTATAGTAAGCCTCATCTTTAGGGGACTCCACTGAGGCTGTTTAGTGGCACACGTTCCACCCTGTTTATATCCCATGTGCCTTGGGGTGTTGAGAAAGAACAAGCTTAAAATAATAGTGCAGTGTGTATCTTTCCTTCCCGGTGGCTGGTGAACCAGCTGCCTGCTAATAAATGCCCCTCTTGGGGTAAAACAAAGAGGGGTGCTCCATGTCTACTCGGAAGAGCCAGACATGGGCCGACCGCTTTGTATGGCATCTCTGTTTTATAAATGGAAGCTTCATGGCTGAGTGGATTTGGAGTCAGTAAGTCCCACACCCACCTCCAGATCCACTGTACACACACACACGCACACACACACACACACACACACACACACACACTCACACACCCTGAGCCTCCGATTTCTCATCTCTAAAATGGGCATAATAACCACCTTGTAGGGTTTCTAGGAGGACTAGGAATCATTAGTCATGTAATGGACTCTGCATTCTGAGCATTCAGAATACAGGAGCTGTCACTCATTGGCTCATGCATCAGCATTTATTGAATACCATCTGTATATCAGACAGGACATACAGGACATAGAACAGCACCCTAGACACAGACAGACAATAAACAGAGAAACAGGTAAATATATAACAATTCAGTTTAAATAGCATGGTCAGGAAGGGAGAGTTCATTGAGGGAGCAGGGTCTGATGACAGGGCAGGCACCACCTGCAGGGACACCTGCGTAAAGCCTACACACCCTCTGTAAAGCGTGCACCGTGTACCCTTGGGAGTCTCCCTCTGTTGCCCTGCATTTTTGGACTTTGGCTGCCCAGGATGCCGTTCTCAGCTCCATGTGCCCAGCTTCTGCCCTTTCCTTTCTAAACCTTATGATTGACCAGCCCAGTCACCCTCCACAAGATGGTCTGACTTCAGGGAGTTGGCCTTAATAACATAATTAATCAGACTAAATGTTATTTCCAAGGGTTCCAGGGAGAAAAAAATGAATGTGCTCTACTGCAGAGCTGCCAAATTTTAATGTGGAGAACTTAGAGCAAGATGTTGCTGATCGGGGAGGGAAAAGAGGGCTTTGAGGAGGCCAAAGTCGCTGCCAGGGGCTGTATGGAGGCCTGCTTCCAGCTTGAGTGATGGAAGCGGGAGAATCATCACAGGCCAGTCCTCCTCTTCCTCCTCACCTTCACCCCTCTTTTGCAGCTTCAGTGTAACTGTCACCTCCTCAGGAGAGCCCTCCCTGACCAGCCCACCGAATTTCCTTTCTGGACCTTGTCATTCCACGAACTTTTCCAAGGCGTTTTAGATTTGTGACTTAGTTTCTTCTAGAGACTAAAAGTGCCAAGAGGGCTGAAACCTGTCTCCCAAGAACCTAGCAACGCAGGTAACACAAAATGCAATAGTCCCCCTTTATCTTCCATTTCATTTTTGGCAGTTTGAGTTACCCAGGCTTTTCCATGTTTAAAACTATTAAACGGAAAACTGTGGAAATAATTCACAAGCTTTAAATTGCATGAAGTTCTGAGACCTGTGATGAGATCTTGTACAGTTGCCCTCCATCTTTCCCAAGATGTGAGTCGTCCCTTTGTGCAGTGTATCCATGATGTATACACCACCCACCTGGTCATCACTCTCCATCTTCGTTATCAGATAGTTGATGTGGCATCATGCACTCAATACAATGGTGCTTGTATTGAGTAACCTCTATTTTAATATCAGCAGTGGGGGGGTGATAGTACTGGCAATTCAGATATGGCAAAGAGAAGCCAGAAAACACTTCTTTAAATGAGAAGGTAGTGTTCTCAGCTTAATAAGGACATGAAAAAAATCATTTGCCGAGGCTGCTCTTTACGATGACTCTTCATCTGTGGAATCGTGAAGGAGGAGGAAGGAATTTGCTCCATACTACAAAAGTTATGGCTGCAGTGCCTAAGGGCTTAGTCAAGATGGAAAGGTGGTCAATGACAGGACCCAGACCTAACCGCTAGTCAGTGGAGCGTGCTCCCTACCCCTGGAGAAGGACAGCTGTAACTGCCTGCCGGGAATGGGGGAGAACCCTGCATGTGGAGCCACGGTGGAGCTCAAGCCAGATACTTCCTTCAAACCATGACATTAGACAAATGATTTGTAACTAGCCTTTGAGAAAATAAAGTAGAATAGAATTTAAAAAGGAAGAAACTGCCAGAGCAGTTGTGGATACAGCTCAGTGGTGGGGCACTTTCCTTGAATTTGTGAGGCCCTGGGTTCAGTCCCCAGTACTGAAAGAAAAATTGGCACACTGTATATGATGATGAGCATACTTAACTGTCTGTGGGGTGATATGCCCCATTTCTTGCTGTAGAACAGTCAGAAACAGCCTCTTTCAGCCTCCATCTTCAAAAGAAACATTCTTGCCTAGAGACCATCAAGCCGAAAAGTTTATGTTCTGGGGCCCAGAAGCAGAGCTTGAAGAAAAGACGCCTTTGTTTTCTAATGACTGAGAAAAATGAACATCTTGACACTGTAGAAGAGACCCAACTTCCTATGTGTCATCGATGTGTAGGATTCTTACATACCACATACTGTGTGCACATCCATGGGTACATGCATGTATACTTCTATACATACACAGGCATACCTACACATGCATAGTAACACACTCATAAATATCTGCTTGTGCATACAAACACATGTGTACATGTAGACACAGAAATAGGCACACGTGGACACACACTCACAGATATACATGCATAGACACATTAATAATAGGGCTGTACACCAACATGTGTGTGGCCACAAACACAGGCTCCCACAAAAATACCCTCATTCCTTCTCATGCACTGTAATCTCACCATCCCCCAAGGGGACTCCTGGGACACTTTTAGTTCTTCACTCTGCCAGTGGGGGTACCAAACCCAGCTGGTGGTCAGGGTGGCAATCCTCAGGCTTTGCCATTATGCCAAACCAGGGCTCAGATTTCCATTGACTGAGTGACAGAGCCTACTTCCTCCCCTGAGAAAGGGGACCTCATCTGATGAAGACCATGCCTGTCTCTTGGGGTCTGGTTGCCTATGGGGATGAGCTGAGAATGTGCTGTCGATGAGGCCCCCTTGTGCCCTACATAGGTGGCACTGGACCCATGCCTGGCCCCAGATACTTCTTTGGTAAAGGGGGTAGTTGGTCTCTGGCGGGCTTCTGTGAGAAGGAAGCCAGGCTCTCTACAAGGCATACTTGTATCTCAGGAAAGCCTCTGTTAACGATTTTCATATGAAGTCTAGCCCTCCTGTCCCTCACCTCCCAACAGCTGGACTGCTTTCTTCTCACTCCACCTTGGACTCTGCTGCCATCTGTGGACTTTTGGCTCCTCTGGATTAGAGTGAGGCAGGCAGGAAGAGAGAAAAAGATGCAAGAGTGCCTGTGCACCTGTGGTAGTCTTGAGTTAGGCTGGGCACATCTCCAGATGGAGCTTCCTTTTGTGGTCCTTTCTGTACCCCTCTCTCCAGAGACTTCTCAGTACCTGGGAAACCTCCCTGGGTTTCCTCAAGGAGGCACCATCCCTGCTGTGGTTCCCGCCTTGTTCCTCAGCTCCTTCTGTGGCCCCCAGGACTGGTTGTGCCATAGCTGGTCTTCCAGGAGGCCTCCTTTTGCCCAAGCCCAGGACCGCCCCTCCAGGTCCAAGACAAGCCCCACCCATCCTTTGCCTTGTGAAGTTCAAGAGGGCCCCCATCTCTGTCAGCAGTTACAAGTTAAGACACAGGCTTGAGCCCTCAGATCACAGAGACACATGTGTTCAGGTGAAGAAGGAACTGTCCCAACTTTCTCCCTTTGGTACCCAGCACACATCCCCAGAGCTTCTTGCCCTGTCTCCTAAAACCAGTCTTTTGGTGCCTGATGTGGGGGGAGACTCAGCGCCAGCCCGTTTTTTGTGAAGTTTTTGTCTCATCCACCCCTCCTTTAGATTCTACCACCAACCAGCCCTGCGCCACCGTGGGAGCCTGCATGTGAATGACTTGTTGCAGTCACCAGGGATTTGGATTTGGGGGACATAGTTCTCACGTCTTCCCTAGAGCAGTGCTTTGTGTCATGTCCAGTAAGGCCATTGTCATGCCAGACTGGCTCTGTCCAAAACTCGTTTCCTGAGATGCCCTTTAGTGCTTTTTTAAAATGTCCCTTTTAAAACAGTGCCCTGAGCTCCGGGGTGGCTTGGCTCCCGCTAGCTGAGTGCATTTCCTTCCATAGGGACGCCCCACACTTTATTGCCCTGTAGAGACACCCTTTCAATGGGTTATACACCCAAATAAATAACAAAGGCTTTTAAAAACTAGAAAGAAAAGCAAGCTGGTATCCGCAAGCTCCTTCACTGTTTTGATCTGTTCTCTGACGCAATTGCGTGGAAGCCGGGTGAGTCTGTCACATGGGGAGAGTGGGAAATAGCATTAAAAATGACACCAGCTCCCTTTCCACTGTGAATAAACAACTGGGATCATCTTTTTTAATACCCTTAATGTTGATTTTCCAACTGATCTTGGGAAAGACCCAAGAACAGTGTCAGCCAATTTATAATTGAGTCCAAACTGGAGGGTGACAGGAGTGGGAAATGGGGGTTTAATTCTCTTCTCTGCTTCGTGAAGTGGCATTTTGAAAGCAGGGCCTGCCTAGATGAATGAGGAAGAACCTCGGGGTGAAGCAGAGGTGACCG